CAGGGTCCCAAAATATAGAAAAACTTGAAAAACCAAAAATTAAAAGACTTGTCCATTGTCCAAATTCATACCACCGTACGTTGGAGAACATTGATGTTTTTGTATCTCTAAAGATCAATACTATTAAAAGAAGCAACTTTAATACTTTTGGATCAATTAAATAAAAGCGTTTCTTACAAAAATTTAACTAAGCTTACTTTAACTGAAACAAAACAACTAATTGAACTTTGCTTGTTTCGTTGTTATTTCTTGTGGAATGGTGAGATTCATGAGTGGAGAATTCAGGCCCAATTGGATTGTCTTTTATGGTTGTTTTGGCTGAATCTTTTTTTACAATACCATGAAGAAAAAGCAATAAAAATGGCAACGACAATGATTCCTTTAATTGATATTAAATCCTTTCATAGATATGTAGACGATAGCCATGCAAGGTTTTCTAACTTAAATCAAGCGGAACAGTTCCAAACAATTCTTGACAGACAACATCCTTTTTTAAAATATACTATTGAGGTTGAAAACAAAAGTAAGATACTTAACTTTTTGGATATAACTATTATTAGTAATACCCAAGGAAAATATGAGTTCAAGGTTTACAGGAAAGATGCAATAACCAATATCCAAATCAAACCTCATTCTAATCATGATCCTAAAATTTTAAAAGCAATATTCAAAGAATACATACACAGAGCATACTCAATATGCAGCAAAAACCATTTAAAAGATGAGATAAATTTTTTAATTCAAGTGTTTACTGAAAATGGATACGATGAAAAAATGCTTAAAGATATTTCTAATCAGGTTCGAAAAAAACGTTTTGCGAACAAAAATGAAATTCCATCAAACTCTAATAACCTCCCTACAATCTCTTTACCATGGATACCAATAATATCTTCCAGACTTAGAAGAATATTCAGAAAAGCTGGTTACAGAACTGTTTTTAAATCAAATGCTAACCTAAAAACGCTATTAACGTCTAAAAATAAGTCTAAATTACCATGCAACAGCACCCCAGGAACCTATTTATTAAGTGCAAATGCTCCAAAGTATATGTTGGTGAAACAAAACTTCAAATACGAACAAGGGTTCAACAACACCAAAAATTTTTGATTGAAGGCAAGTTAAACCATTCTGCATTACCTTTGCATAAAGTAAATTGTAATGAGGACATTGAATGAAATAAAGTAATAACACTTAAAAATGAGGATAAAAAATTTGAAAGAAAAGTCCGTGAGGCCTTAGAGATACAAAAACATCAATGTTCTCCAACGTACGGTGGTATGAATTTGGACAATGGACAATATTTAAAAACAAATTTTTGGACTTCGTTTTTTTCATACTTAGCTAAAAGAAGCCATTATAAAGGTGACGTCAAAGTTTAAAAAATATTTTTTTGTTATTTAACGGTCACAATTTTTGTAATTATATTACAAAAATTGTACTATATTATATAAATTATATGAATATATATATATATATATATATATATATATATATATATATATATATATATATATACATATATATATATATATATATATATATATATATATATATATATATATATATATATATATATATATATATATATATATATATATATATATATATATATATATATATATATATATATATATATATATATATATATATATATATATATATATGTATATATATATATATATATATATATATATATATATATATATATATATAATATATATATATATATATATATATATATATATATATTAGGGCTGTACCGAATTTCGGCTCCGGCTCCTGCTCCGGCCGAAATCCGGCCATTTTTACAAATCCGGCCCAAATCCGGCTCCGGCAAAATGTTAGCAAATCCGGCATAATTTTGGCCGGATTTCTGGATGTTTATTACATCTTATTTACCCGTGATAACATGTATACATAATACTTAATTTTTGAACTTCATGTTTGTTTTGGTATCTGTATTTACATTTTTTTACAATTTAATTAGCTAAACCTAATTTCAAACAAGAACGCAACAAAAAATTCTGAAGAGAAGACACACGATATTCTGCAATAATGCAGGTGTAAAGACTATGAAGTCAATCCTAATCAACTCATTAGATGAGCGTTTCAAAGGCATTGAGGAGAAAACTTTTTAGATTGAAAAAAATAAAGAAAATCCAGCAAAACAATCCCGGCTGGATAATTCTTATACATTATCATCATTACAATGGCATATTTATATAGATGAAATTATTGAGTCTACGCCCGCTTGTGGCACAGCACATGAACAACAATTACCAACAGGCATTGACACTCAGCTAAGCCAAAATCTGGAAGAATCAGAAATATATAGACACGTTGATTCACTACAGTGGCGGAGTGACAACATCCCGGGAAAAAAAGTTCTGTAGAATTTCTCTAAATTTTTGAAACATATGGCCTACAGAAACTCTATAAAATTTATATAAAATGTCTATTAATTTCTATAGAAATTGCTATAAAACTTTTAAACAACAAAAATGATGTTTAATAGAAAACAACCCGACGGGCATTTGTTTTTAAAAGTTACGTTCTGAATGTGTTTTAAATGTCTTTTAAACGTCTTTTAAACATTAATGTTTAAAAGACGTTTAAAAGACATTTAAAATACATTTAGATCGTAACTTTTAAAAAGAAATGCCCGTCGGGAACTGTCACTTGGTGATCTAAATAGTCAACATTGTTGACTATTTTCAACACCAAGTAGGGATATACAGGATTTTGGTTCCTGTAGTTTTGCTTCAAAATCAGTTACAAACAGTAGAAATAGTAATTACAAAGCTAATTACAAAAAAATTATTTCTAAGTTATACACGCCAAATGGCGCTATTAAGGGAATCTGCGAAAAGATTTTTTTTGGAGTTTTATACCCAAAAATGATGAACCTTCTTTGATTTCCTTTTTTAGGTATTAAAGTATAGAAAAAATAAATATATATAATATTAAAGTTTACATCAATTCTATATTAATGTATCAATATTATATCAATGTATTCTTATCAATCAGATATGTAATAATTTTGTATATATATTTTCTTATTATCACGAAATAAATGTATATTTTATATGGTACACCTTGAGAGAAAAAAAATATATATATCAAAAACTTTTTCTTATATATGTTAATGATCTTCATAAAGCATCCAGCCTGAGGACAATCATGTTTTCCGACGACACAAATTTATTTTTATCGCATAGCAACATTACTAAATTATTTGAAATTATGAACGTATGAAATTATTTGAAATTGTGAACGACTGGTTTAAATTAAATAAACTTTCAGTAAATATTGACAAAACTAACTGGACTCTATTTCACGCACTTTCCAAAAAAAAACTAATACCTTACGAAACGCCATCTATACTCATTGATAATATTCAAGTTAAAAGAGTAAAAACGACTCAGTTTTTAGGAATATATATTGATGAAAATCTTACATAGAGACAGCACATCGAAAATTTAAGCAACAAAACTTCAAAAAGTATTGAAATATTATACCAATCAAAAAGTTATTTAAAGATGCGCACTTAAATGCAACTATATTATTCACTTATTCACTGCCATATTAACTATGCAAATATTGCGTGGGGCAGTACTAACAAAAGTAAACTTGAGCCTCTTCATCGCCATCAGAAACTTATAGCACGTTTAGTTAATTCTTGTGATAGACGAACTCATTCAAAGCCTCTCATAAGAAAAATGAATGTTTTAAACATATATCAACTTAACGTATATAATATTCTTTGTTTTATGTTCAAATGTAATACGAAATTATCCCCGTCTCAATTTCATAGTTTATTTAAAACAAAACAAAAAAATAAATATAATCTACGAAATTATAATTTTTTGATGCAACCATTTTTGAAAACTCAAAATAACAACAATGAACTTATAAAAATAAATAACAAACTCAGAGAGATTGAGGATAGGTCAAGGCGTAATAATTTAAGAATCGATGGTGTCCTTGAAAATGACAATGAAAGCTGGGCTGAATGTGAAAAGAAGGTAAAAGAAATATTCAACAACATATTAGGAGTCAAAAATGTAAACATTGAAAGAGCGCATAGAATAGGCAAAGTAGTTCACAACAAACATAGAAAAATAATACTAAAACTTCTTGATTTTAAAGATAAAACTGAAATTCTTAACAACTCTTCCAAATTAAAAGGTAAAAACATTTTTATATATGAAGATTACTGCAAGGAAACAAATATTATACGAAAGACACTACATGAAGAAATGAAAATAGAAAGGCAAGCTGGCAAATACGCGTATATTTCATACGACAAACTTATTGTTCGCGATTGGAACTCCAAAAAAAAGTAATATATTATCTTTTAAATTTTTATTATATTTTTACATAAACTTATTTGCTTTTATTAATTATGGCATCAGTAAACAATTTCGAAAATTTTACTTTTTTTGATAATGTTTTTTCATTGCGCGAAAACGTTAACAAAGAAATTAATTATTTTCATGAAATTAACAAAGAATGTGCTTATTAATATCCGTGGGAAATAGAAGGGTTTCTATTTAACAATATTAGCAATAAAAACTTACATCAAATTAGAATTCTACACGTTAATATTCAAAACATTAATTGCAATTTTGAAAAACTTCAAAATTTACTTAAAGAAACAAAAAACACTTTTAATATAATTTTTTTAACTGAAACTTGGGCAACTGCCAACGATTTAATTAATGACTCTAATTTTCATCTTCCTCATTTTGAAATAATCTCATTTGAAAGGCAAACTAATAAGCGCGGTGGCGGAATTCTAATTTACGTTCATGAAAATATCAGGCATCGTTTTAGAAACGATCTTAGTATTTCTAACGGCGATGGAGAACTTTTAACCATTGAAAAAATAATTGAACAAACAAAAAACATTCTTCTAAGCTGCTGTTATCGACCACCTGATGGTGTGGCCGAAAACTTGAGCATGTTCTTACTACAAAACGTTTTTAAAGAAGGAAATAATAAAAATAAAAAAAAATTTCTTATTGGAGACTTTAATATGAATTGTTTTATATATAATGATAACAACAAAGTTAGAAACATTTATGATTCAATTTTTGAGGCTGGAGCTTTTCCATTAATAAATCGCCCGACGAGAGTGACAAAATACTCAGCAACTTTACTAGACAATATCATTACAACAGACATCTTTAATAATGATATAAAAAAAGGGATTATAAAAACAGATATCTCGGATCACTTTCCTATTTTTCTGACTATACCCACTAACCAAGCAAATGTAAAAAAACCTAACAAAATCTTAACTAAACGTATTTTTAATTAATCAAAAATTGAATTGTTTAAAAACCAACTATCGCTACTTCATTGGAAACATTTAAACTTTAATGATAACGCTAATAATCTTTTTGAAAATTTCTTTTTGAAAATTTTTGATATCAAAAACTAAAAACATAAATAATCCTTGGGTTACCAAAGGTTTCAAAAAATCATCAAAAACTAAGCAAAAGTTATATATAAAATACCTAAAAACAAAAACTCCTACAAGCGAAAAAAAAATACAAAGAATATAAAAATTTATTTGAAAAAATCCGGAAAAGTTTAAAAAAAACTACTATTCAAATTTGATTAATGAAACAAAAAATAACGTAAAAAGCACTTGGCAAATACTAAAAGAAATAATTGGGAAACAAAAAACATGCTCAAGTTTTTTGCCACAAATGCTTAAAATTGATAACAAAATTTTATACAATCCACAAATTATAGCTAATGAGTTTAATAAATATTTTGTTGAAATTGGTCCAACCCTATCAGATAAAATTCCAATTACCAAAACTTCTTTTTATGATTTTTTAGCACCTCTTGATAAAGGCATTTGCTCAGATGAACTATCGTCCGAATTATCCTTTGAAGAGTTTGAAAAAGCTTTTAAAACCTTTAAAAAAAATAAAGCAACTGGGCCTGATGAAATAAACGGAAATATAATTATAGATTGCTATGAACAAATTAAAAATATTCTTTTTAAAATCTACAAAGCATCCATCCAACAAGGAATTTTCCCTGAGCGCTTAAAAATTGCTAAAATTATTCCAATTCACAAAGAAGGCGACAGATCCAATATCAATAATTACCGCCCCATCTCTATCCTATCTGTATTCTCCAAAATCCTAGATAGAATTATGTTTAACAGAGTTAATAATTATTTTAATTACAATAACCTACTATACAATAATCAAGTCGGTTTCAAAAAAGATCAACTGAGCATGCCATTATTCAATTTGTACGCAACATCTCCAAATCCTTTGAAAAAGCTCAATATACATTAGGTATTTTTATAGATCTATCAAAAGCATTTGATACGGTTGACCATAATATTTTAATACAAAAAATGAAATATTACGGTTTAAACAATAATACTTTAGCGTGGTTTAAAAGCTATTTAACAAATCGTAAGCAAGTAGTCTATAGTAATAATGACATTCAAAGTGGATCCTTAAATATAACCTGTGGTGTTCCACAAGGTTCTATTCTTGCACCGCTGCTATTTCTTATATATGTCAATGATCTAAACAAAGCCTCTAACCTGATGAGTATTATTTATGCCGATGACACTAACTTATTTCAATCCCACACTGATGTTTACAAACTTTTCTCAAAAACTAATAATGAACTTATAAACATTTCTAAATGGTTTAAATGTAATAAATTAACGTTAAATACTAACAAGACTAAATGGATTCTTTTTCATTCCTTTTCAAAAAAAGTTCTTTACCAGATATTATGCCTCAAATTTATATTGATGAAACTCTTATAAAAAGAGATTCTGTTATAAGATTCCTAGGTGTTTATCTTGATGAGAATATCACTTGGAAAAACCATATTAATCATATAACCACCAAGGTATCTAAAAATATTGGCATTCTGTATAAAGCCCGACCTTACTTAAGTAAAAAAAGCCTTACGCAGCTCTATTACTCATTCATACACAGCTATATAAACTACGCAAATATTGCATGAGGTAGTACTGAAAAAAGTAAACTACAACGTCTATATCGCCAACAGAAACATGCGATTCGCGTGATTAATTGTGTGGATCGCTCTACACATTCAAAACCTTTCTTTGATGAAATGAAAATACTTAATGTCTACAAACTTAATGTTTTCAATGTTTTATGTTTTACTTATATGTGGAAAAACAATTTATCCCTACATGTTTTTAACGACCTTTTTACATTAAAACTTACTAATAAGTACTCACTAAGAAATAAAGATTTGCTAAATGAACCATTTTGTAGAACAAATTTTGTATTAATTATAGAGCACCTTATCTTTGGAATAAAATAGTTCTGCCTAATTTTGATCCTTTTATCCGTTTTTCTGTTTTTAAAAATGAATTAAAAAATTTTATTCTTGCTATGGATGACATCTTAAGTTACTATTAGCTTGAAGTATAAACTTGATTTATGAGATTTATAGTAATATTTATATTAATAAATTTATTTTCTTTAATTTATAACAGATCTATAAAATTTATTCTTATGGATTTTTATAACAGATTTGTGAGAATTATTATGACAGATACGTGATTAATATTATGAATTTATTATTATATATTTATTATTACGGCCGTTTTTGGATTTATATTTTCAGTTTTTATAGTATGATAAAATTGTAATTGATAAGATCAGTTGATCTTCTTTCAGAAGCCTTGTTTTCTTTGTTCTTGTAAAATATAGTATTTATTTTACGGCAAATGTAAACAAAAAAAAAAACAAAAAAAAACAAAAAAAAAAACAAAAAAAAAACAAACTAATCATTGTAAATTTTGCGTTCCATTTCGGGGACCGTATCTTTGGAACAAAATTGTCTTAAATAACTTTGATTTTTCTTTTGAATGGAATTACATATCTTTTAAAAAAAAGTTGAGAGAAGTAGTTTTTGAAATTGATAATATACAAATGTACTTTTAAACCTTTTGAAATTCTTTTTATCTATTATTTATATCGGTTTATATGATTTGTAATATATGATTTTTCTTGATATGATTTGTAACTCAATTATTTACGATCTTCAAGCCTATATTGCTATTATACTATCTGTCCAATTATCTTAAAGAATTTTTTTTTGTGAACTTTTTATTTTTTTGTAGTTTTTTTAATTTAAATCTTGTTATTCTTTTATTATTATATATATTATTTTAAATTTAAATCTTGTTATTCTTTTATTATTGCATAACACTTTTTTATTTACTACGTAAAATATTTAACTTGTAAAAATGTCTTTTTACCGCGGTACTCGACGACAAGACCCTTACAGTCTTTGGGTCCTTAAGTCATGCCAGATGGATCACTACTGACACGAGAATAGTCTTTATATGGACGATGAAACATAACTTAACTGAAAAGAATTAGAAAAATCTACGATTACTTTTCTTATTCTGTATACAATTTTACCTTAAAACTTTTTTTTGACATGAAATTAAAAGACAAACTTGAAAATGCTCTCTATCACATTCTTTCTCAATTGAGAATTCTCAGAATTCAACCTGGTAGGGTAAGTCTCTAAATCCATTTAGGAGCTTGGTATGCAAACCATGAAAGTATTCCTATCTCCTTGTTATCCCGTGATAATGTAGAAGACCGCTACTTTGGAGTTGACCACATTTTGAAACAAATGGGTAATGATATCTTTGGAGATATGCGAATTCTACCAAGAAAAACACCTAAACTGAACTTTGCAGCAACTGATCTTTAAGAACTAGTTAAATAGAAAAACGAAGTACAAGAACCTGCTTTTACTTGTTAGCTTCCTAAAGTTAAGTTGTTATTGCTAAGATTAACACCTTTAATAACTCCTGTCAAAATTCCTACTCAAAGTACTAAACGTGCTGTAAAACAAGTGACAGTAACATCTATGTCGGCAGTTGGACCAGATGCAAGAGATGAGTATATTAGAGCTAGAACTCAACATAGAGAGTTGTTACCTGTGTTTAAAACAAAGAATTTTTATTAAGAAAAATAATAAAGTCTGAAGAACTAGAAAGTCTAAAGAAATTTTATTCATTAAAACCTTGTTGAAAATATATTGAATGTCCCCTCATCCTCACCCTGAAAAGAGCGAAATCCGCACAGCAAACAGGATCTATGCAAAATATTATTTATGAAACAAGTATCATATCATTTGCTTTTAACATTTTGTAAAATATAATGAAGGACATAATTTTTTTAAAATGAGATTTGATTTATTTTTCTTAAGGAAGTGGAAATTTGGGTATCAAAACTTCATTAGATCAAAATAATATTTTAGGAAACCCTATTTAAAATTTAATTTTACATAAGAATACATCTTTTCCTAAGCTTTTAAAGTGAAAAAAATTCTTGCTGTACCCTATTAGGCAGTATTCCAAATTACTGAGATGTTTAAACTTAAAAAAATATCCATTGAAATTATCAAGATTTTATATTATTGTAAGGTAACATATGTTTTATAATAAAATATGAATAATCGTAAAATGCAAATATTTTATATTTACTTTGACAAAACGTTATCTTGTCATTTATCTCCTCTATAGATAAATATAATTAATACTTAAACATATCGGCGTAATAAATGATGTTAAGCTTAAAAATCCAAAACTTGATTAGTGGAATAAAAAACACTATATTTTCGAAAATTACAAATTTTTTTTTTTAATTTTATTGACAAATAACTTAAACATCCATTTATTCATTCGGAACGTAAATAGCAAGATGAGGAAGCTGCAATATCTTTAAAGTGCTATCTTTTTTGTCCATTCTTATTATGCCATCTGGTCCATCAATATTTATAAGTTCCCCTGTATAATTTTTATCGGCACCAGCAAGGAGTTTCACCTGAAAACGTTTTATTGCCAAATAAAAATGAAACATATATGAAGTAACTACAAATATTTTAAATACTATGATATCGTATTTTGTTTAAATACTTTATTAATTTAATTTCAAAACAAATAAATCTTAGTAAATTTAAAAGCAGAAATAACTTGCAACTTTTACCTGATCTTTCACAACCGGGGGAACTATTTCAACATCCGTGTTGTTTAACGTAATGGATTCTTTTGTGTCTAACATCTGCAAAGTTAGAACATCGTCATCTATTGCACGAATAGCAGCTCGTTTGTTAGCGTAGCGTTGATCCTAAAAATTTTCAAAACTCCATTGAAATAAATTATTTAGATGAGTTAGCTAATCCGCCGTTTTTCATTTTTAAATTATTTTTAAAGCTAATCTATAATAAAGGGGGACGGGGGGGGGGGCGGTTGGTGGCGGTTCCGACTTAAAACTCGTATTTGACAATTTTATTAAACTTCCATAACATTTCAAAACAGCTTGTCTATTAAGCTTAATTTTTCTTAATTTTTTATTAATTTACTTTAATTTCCTAACAATATGCTGTGTTAAATAAAGATATCCAAAAAAAAAAAAATCATTTTTAAAAAACTTTAGAATTTGCCCGTTTAATACCGTGAATACTTAAGTTCATTTAGACATTTCACTTTATTAGTTGGTGATTTTTATCAGAAAAAACATTTTAAATCCATTCGATTCTGCAAAATTGTTACATCTAAACAAGATAATTTAGTTTAAAAAATATTTCACCCCTAAGCAAGATAACATAATTTTAAAAGTTTTTTTCACCTCTAAACAAGATAAACCCCCAAAAGTTAATTTTGTGTATGTAATATACACAAAAATAACACTAATTGATTATCCCTGGATAATCTTTTCTGGGGTAACAATCAGTAAAATTAAAATTTTTGTATTTGTAAATTTTGTGTAAATTAACCTTTTGCATTTGTAAATAGAATTAAATTTGCTTTAATTGATTTAGGTGTTTTATGCAAATATTTCCTTTTAGATGTTTTATGCAAATATAACATAAATAATACGTTTCATCGCAGTTTTCATTTTTGTTGTTGTTGTTATTTTCGGTGTACCAGCAAAATTAGTTTACCGGCAGTAATTTTAATTCTCTTAATAAAAATAGATTAATAACATATTTTAAAGTATATTATTTATTATTTTGCAAAGATTTGTGTAACTTTCCTAACTTAAGATAAACAGCAGTAAAAATGTAAATAAAAAGCTTTTGAATAATAAAAAAACAATATAATAATATAAACGTATTGAAAAATCTAAACTAGAAAATAACTAACGCCAATTAAAAAAGTTGTATTTTTTAATTTTGAATGAATGATCATGCTTGTTAATGACAGCACTTTATTTCACAATAAAATAAAAAAACATTGTTCTCGATTAACATTTCTTCATTGTGCGTACTAGTTACGTATCTCTAAATCTAAGCCTGACATAATTTTATTGTTTTTTTTTTACTAATTATTGAATTTTTGGGAATTTCCAACCAATTCGGAATTCTGCATTATACGCAGTGCAATCAGGCTGGGTAACCCCTCCTAGGTATCAGCCACTGGAACCGGGATGCTGAATAAGTGCGAATTTCATAAATCCAAACTAGCATAAGTGCAAAGCAGTTGCAAAAACTGGCATAAGTGTGAATTGGCATAAGTACAAGTGGGAATAAGTGTGCCAAAAAAATTTGCAAACATGGGCATAAGTGCAAATTGGCATAAGTGCACCAAAAGAGAAATTATGTCAATGCAAGCATTGACATAATTTCGAACTGGCAAGGTGCAAAGCTGTTGCAAAAACTGGCATAAGTGCGAATTGGAATAAGTATGCCAAAAGAATTGGCAAACATTGGCATAGGTGGGAATTGGCTCAAAGTTCAAAGCAGTTGCAAAAACTGGCATAAGTACAAACTGGCATAAATGCAAATTGACATAAATGCGTCGAATAAACTTACAAACATTGGATTAAGTGCAAACTAGCATAAGTGTGAAGCAGTTGCAAAAGCTGGAATAAGTGCGAACTGGCATATGTGCTCAGAAAAAATTTGCAAAGATTAGCATATGTGCGAACTGGCATAAGTGCGCCAAAAGAATTTGCAAAGGTTGGCAGAAGTGCAAATTGGTATATATGGAAATCCTATCCCAATGTTATCTAATTACTTTGGCCTAATTTTCTTTTCATGCCAGTTTTTGCTTATGCACATATGCCAGTTCACACATATGGCAATTTATGCTTCACACTTATGAGAGTTTGCACTTATGCCGATATTTGCAAATTCTTTTGGTACACTTATGCTAGTATGCACTTATGCCAGTTTTTGAAATGCACTTATGCTAGTTTGCACTTGTGAAATTCGGATTCAGTCGCCCCATCGGAACCCCTTGGATCATTCCCAAAATCTACTGTAGAGGGTTAACTAACTATTATTCATTTTGTCAAATGTAACTCTCAGAAAAGTCTTAAAGGTGGCCCAGGTGGCGCCAATGTCCGACACCTATTTTAACCTGTGTATTTTTATGTGTATGTATGTATGTATGTATGTATGTATGTATGTATGTATGTATGTATGTATGTATGTATGTATGTATGTATGTATGTATGTATGTATGTATGTATGTATGTATGTATATAATATATATATATATATATATATATATATATATATATATATATATATATATATACATATATATATATATATATATATATATATATATATATATATATATATATATATATATATATATATATATATATATATATATATATATATATATATATATATATATATATATATATACACACATATATATAATTTACTTCAAAAAGATTGCAAAAATCACATGATTACTTGCTCTTTGTGATTTAAACTCTTTTACTTCGGATCTCAAGGTTGATATTATCCTTTAATTCTCAAAAACTCCAGAAAAGTCGCATGCTTAGACCTGCATTTATACTACTGTATCAACAAAAGGTCTTCACTTTTTGAGTATTGATCTGGCGCTTTTATCCTTGAGATCTTTTTTATCCAGCTGGATTTTATATCCATTTTTTTTTTTTCAGAGTTCATTTTTGTGTACAATTTACACTTTTATATTTTCTCTTTGTTTAAAAGCATGTGCAACAGAATATGATTTGTTTAAAAGCATGTGCAACAGAATATGATTATATATTAGCAAACATATATGAAAACTTTTCTAATTGATAAATGGATTAATCAAACAGATCCATCATATGTAAGCAATTACATACTTACAAATATTTTTGATGGTACAAAGACAAGCAATATCATATCCCATATTAAAATAATTAATCAAAGTTTGTAAATATTTGTTTTTATTTTCACACAAAAAATAATTTGTGAATAAAAAGTGAGCAAATATTTAGATTTGAAGATTGAAACTTAATATGCATTTTTCTTTGCTATTTTTATAATTAATTAATATGCAATATGTATAAATTAAATACTTAGTCAACTTACATGATAGTCATCATTTACTTTCACCATTATATCTGTTGCTAAGTTCTCAGTATGATCATGCTCTAAAAAATGTTAGTTATAAAAAAGATATAAAACAAAGATGCTTTACTAAAGATGAATAAATGATTTTCTAAAGATGATTAAATCACCAATTAGAAAACAGTCTTCAACTATATTATATAAAATTTTTTTTTATATATTATATAAAAAATTAAAGGATGCTTATTAGAAATTGATTTGTACTTATTATAAATAAAAAAACTCTAAATAATTGCTTTGATAAAAAATATATAATATAATTATTAAAACAAAAAAAAAATTACCATCATCAAACTGACTTCGAGGAGTATTTGGTGTATATGCTGGCGACATTGGCATTAATCCTGCTCCTGGTGTCAGTGGATTTCCAATGATAGGTGATGGAGTATGCATGGGTGAATATGAAGAGTCACCACCAAATACATTAGACATGGGAGTTCCTGGAGTATACGGAGCGTTATATGCACTATGAGAAGGGGTTTGCGGACTTGGTGTATTTCCAAAACCCTTTTTAAAAAAGTCATTAACACTATATAAAAAATACATTTTTAGTAGACTTAGTTTTTCTTGTGGGTTAATAAATAAAATAGGAAAATATGGCATTTACTTGGTTTGATAATCTACTTAGTTTGTAGCATTATGTGAATAACAAATGACAATTTAAAAAAAAGTGTCTGCATTACCATTGAAACAAGGGTAGAAACTTTAATAAATCATGAATACAAAACTTAAGTGAAATACAAAACTTAAGTGAAACTACATGTTTAAAAACAACTTACTGGTGATGAAGCTGTTACATCAAAATAATTTTCATATTCATCGCTTGGTCGTGCAGGTGTATTTGGTTGAGTTGGATCCCATGCACCACCATGTCCAACATGAGATGGAGTACGGTTGCCTTGATCATGCGAAGGTGTTCGTGAAGGATCGTGAGAAGGAGTACGCGAAGGATCATGCAAAGGAGTTCGACCACCATAATTAGGAGTGCGATTACCTGAATTTTAATAAAATAAATGCATAATAAGTGTTATGATAGTAATGTTAACAAGAGTTTGCAGTGTAGCCAGTGTTTTAGACTGCAGTCTTGTTGTGGTTTTCTTTTCTTTTTCTTTTTTTTTAAAAGCTAAAGAAAATAGACCTTTAGCTTAACAAATAAAAAAAATGTAAAACATCTGCTAAACTTTAAAAAAAGCAACCTGCCATAATGCTAAAAATCCTTGACTAAAATTTTCAAACTCTACAAGACCGCAGTCCATAATAAGCCATTGTTTACATCACTATCATTAAGAATATTTAATTTGAAAAAAAAAAGATTAATAGAATACTTTTAATTTTTGCCTTAGTTTTAAAAGAAAATAAACCTTTAGCTTAACAAATAAAAAAAATTAAAACATAAAAAGTACACTTAGAATTACATAAAAAACATAAGCATAATAATAAATATAAATTCCATACCATCATGAATTGAAGGTGTTGAATTGCCTGGCGTGCGAGAACCTATTGGAGTTTGGTTTAGCCAATGCAAAGGTGTTTGACCATAAGAAGTACTGCTTCCACTCCTATTTTTGCCACTGTAAAAATAAAAAGAATTTTAATAAAATTATTTCAACTTTATTTCTCTGCAATACTTCAAATAAAAAAAAAAAAAAATACTTTTTTTTGCTTTTGTATTTCATATTTATGAAATACAAAAGCAAAAAAAAGTTATTCATGCTCAACATTGAGTTATTAATACTCAGATATTTAATAGCTGTTGATGGAATTAGCCTCTCTGAGAGCTACCACAAAGCTAGGAAGGTGTTGTACAGCCATTATCAGACTAAAACAAAAACCCATATGAGTTGAGTCAAAAAGATCTAGCATTTATCATCCTAGGCAGAAACAATATAACACAGATTTACATCTATGCCAGCCTGATAGATAAAAAAGGGATGTGAGGCTGGTCAACATAGTTTTTCTGCTTAGCTTTAAAGTTTTTGTCTAAAAAGCCTTCTACAAAACTGTACCAAAACAGAGGTTCATTTCTTTTTTACTTTTGCCTAGAAAAGCAAATCCAATAAGTAAGTAGGATATGAAGTAGGTAATACTGGATTACATGTTGCCAGTAGCATGGTGATAATAATTATCCTGAACCTGACTTGACCTGGAGTTGTTAAAAAAAGTTACTTCTGTAAGCATTACTTTAAACCATTGAATGGGAGATTTTGGAAATGCATTAAGAAAAATATATCTAAAAGAATACTGTAAATCAAGCTGAATGCATGTTTTATAGTTGTAATAATTAGTTGGTAACTGAGCTACGACCCAACCAGAGGATCACACAGAACACAAACATACATATATAGTAATTTACGTGTATCACAGTAACTAAGTTACGGGTATTACAGTAATTTACGAGCTATTACAGTAACTAGGACACCGCCAACCATCTCCAACAGACAAAATATGTACCACTAGAAACATAACAGATGTTTTACAAGTAAAACAAATTAAATAGTTTAATAATTAAGAAATATCTTTAGCAACAGAAACTAGGGTGATTTGGATCTGCTTATAAATGAATATTTAAAAATATCTTTAGCAACAGAAGTTGGAGTGATTTGGATCTGCTTATAAATTAATATTTAAAAATATCTTTAGCAACAGAAGCTGGAGTGATTTGGATCTGCTCATAAATGAATATTTAAAAATATCTTTAGCAACAGAAGCTGGAGTGATTTGGATCTGCTTATAAATGAATATTTAAAAATATCTTTAGCAACAGAAGCTGAAGTGATTTGGATCTGCTTGTAAATCAATATTTAAAAATAACTTTTGAAAAAGAAGCTGTTACAATTTCTGCTTGTGAGTTAATATCTCAAAAGTAAATATTGTTAACAATATATTTTTGATCCCATCAAATCATTAAACATTGAAAACCTTTTTACTGCAAACTCTTTTATAAGTGCTTGTAACATAGTTTTGATTTTGACAATAATTTTTCATTACATAAATGGGTTTAATTTTCTTGTGATGGTGATTCTAAATTTGACAAAAACACAGGCCCTGCTTGTTTACTTTTTATATGCTTGTAAATAATTTAGTTAATAATGTTAATTCAAATAAACATTGACCAGGGTAAATAGTGAGCAATATGGTTACAACATATGACAAACTGGTTTAAAATATTTATATAGGCATCAATACCTGAGAGCATAATCTTAAGCTCATTAACATCTTTGCACTCTTCTACTTGGAATATATGTGAAAGTGAAAATATGGAAGATATAAAATCATTATCATTTACAGATTGCTCATCTACTACATAAAAATTTAACAAGAGCAAACTTCCATTATGGTTGAAAATCAACATATTATACCAATTTTTCGCATGAATTGTCATGTCAAATTAATGTCATCAGTTGTCAAATGTCAATCAAATTGTTAAACGAATGTTATCTGTTTTACGCTACTGTTCTGATAAAAATATTTGAATAAAATATAAAAAAACCTGATTAGAGTTAATCGAGATCGATCAACAGATATAGTTTTACAATTTGTATGCAATTCAATTCTTGCCAAAGAATCTGTTGCATCCTTGATAATACCAATGTATCCTTTAAAAAAATAATTTATTCTAATTTTAAAATGCATATAATGACTAAAAAATCAAGTAACAATAAAACTTATAAACTTATGACATAATTATAATAATTATAATCATAAATAAAAATTATTATTCATAATTATGGTGTAAAGCTATATATTGTATAATATCAATTTAACTTCATGGTCTAAAACAACCATTTTTATGGATTTACTAAATTTTTAAAACAATTTTTTTAAGTAAAAAAATTTCATTAATTTTCTAACAATATCATTTTTAAAATTTACCTTTAAATGGACCTTGTACAATGCGCACTGTTTGACCAATAAGTGAATTGTCCCTACCACGTCCCCTTCCACCACCCCCACCACCTCCCATTCCTCCTCTACCACCATCACCTTTACCTCTTCCATCAAAATTGTTTCCGCCGCCGCCACCACCACCTTTAAAAGAAGTAAAACAATTCTACAAAAAAATTAAAAGAATAAATAATATAAATAGAAATAAAGCAGTGACTACAGTAGTATCCTAAAGTTTAAGCACAGTCACTTATTTCATTATAAATTTAGAACCACGGACTCAATATTCTTGAAATTTTCACTGAGTATAGCCAATAAAACTATTTATATGAAAATAAAAACATTTTTTCGAAATCACATTTATATGTGTAATGAAAAAAAGATAACGGTTTCTCTGCGGTTCAAAAGTTTGAGGACACTTGTAGTTTTAATAACTATATGGTTAAAAATATATGGTTTTAAAAAATTAGATTTGATTTCAAAATATCAATATTTCGTTGCATAACCTTTAGAGTCAATAAAAGCCTGGCAACAATTCAGCAATTTTTTTTTGCTGGCAATGAAATTCTTAACGGAGATTGCAGTATGCTTTGGATCATTGTCCTGTTGAAACACCCATCCTCTTGGCATTTTATCCTTAGCATAATGAAGCATTTTATCATTGATGATCTCATACAAATGTTGATCAATAATTCCTTTAACTGTCAACCACCAAATTTTGTCTTACAAAGACAACATGTGGCATTCTTCGATCTTCTTTGACACTGTTACCAGCAAATTTGCCTGTTTTTTGTTAATAATTTTGGGTCGCATTATTTGCTTTGAACAAGTTGTCCTACTGCAGTCTTGGAAACTTAAAATTAACTTGCGATTTGACAATAAGACATTTTTGATTCAACTGATTTTAAGATTTTTACAGGAGAACAAATTTTTTTTTTTTTTTTCCCCATTTTGAATTAAGAAAGAATGATCAAATCAAATTAAACTTGCATAAAAAATTAATTAAATTATTGCACAAAATGCAAATAAATAAATTCCCCCCGTTAATAAAACTACAAGTGTCCTTAAACTTTTAAACTGCAGAAAAGTGTTATATTTTTTTAAATAAATAATTGTTATTTTGAAAAAATCTTTTTGTTTTCAGATAAATAATATTATCATTATATTCAGTAAAAATTTCAGTATTTTCAGTAAACTTTTAAACTGCAGAAAAAGTGTTATATTTTTTTAAATAAATAAATGTTATTTTGAAAAAATGTTTTTATTTTCAGATAAATAATACTATCAGCTATATTTAGTAAAAATTTCAAAAATATTGAGTGCATTGTTTAACATTTTTAGTAATACAATCCATAAACTATAGGATGCTACTGTATATTTATTTTCTATTATGTTCTACACTATTAAAATTTGAAAGAAAAAACAGATCAGCTTGGTTTTATTGAGAGCAAGAAAAATGTCCTTGCCAGTCAACTAGTGTCAAGTCAAGTTTTTTTTTATAATTTGATAATATCTGCTTAATCAATTATAAAATCTAAAACCTTTATATTATAAATAATAATTTGATGCAATCATTAAGTCTGTAGCAATATATAAACCTAATGTTACTTTTAAAATTTTAAAGCAACTTATTAAATCAGGAAATTTAATTCATTGGAATTTATCTCAAAAACCCTTGCTTCTCACACGGTTCAAAAACAAGATTGTTTAATAGCTTATTATTTAAAATTGATGAACATTCATTACAAGGTATGCTATTTAATAAATGCTACACAAACAATGTTGTGTTTACAAATGCACTTATCTGCAAACAATTATTGTTTTACTATTAAACGCATTTTTTATAAATAATTAAACAAAACAATATTTTGCTACTGGAAACCAGTTGATGTTACTAAAAATCTAGCTGTTGTTGCTAAAAACCTAGTTGTTATAGATTTTCTAATAGATTTTAAATTTTAAAGTTTTTTTTTAAGTTTATAAACATACATTGCAAGGCATGTCATTAAACAAATATTACACAAATAAGGTTGTATCTGTAAATTACTAATTTATATATCTTTCTTAATTAATATATTTGAGTATTTTTACGTGTCATATGATGTAGTAATGTGTTTTTATATGTGTTAAGGTTATATGGGTTTATATTTTGTAAGTGTTTATGTGTCAAATGTGTCAATATCTGTTATATATAAAGTATTTCTATGTTTGTTATGTGTTATAATGTTATAAGTTTGTAAGTGATTATGTTGTTTCCGTGGTTTCAAAGTGTTGTGACTTGGCTTAGTTACAGCGTAAGATCTTGCTGACCAAGTGGTGTACTTTCTATGATGTGAAATCCTTGCCAGCCAAATGGTGCACTGTCATGATGAAACACATGAAATCTGTTTGTAGTTAGTGTAATCATAAAATTTGTAATTTTTAGTTTTGATAAAATATTTTAATAAATATTTCTGATTGCCAGTACAGTTGTTGCAACAACAAAAACTGAATAAGGGGCCCAGAGAAGGTGCATCCTTACCATAGATTTATAGAAACTGTTTTAAATATTTTTCAAAATTTTATATAAGATTTACAAAAAAAAAAAAAAAATTTAATTAAAATTTTGTTTATTAGCTTGCAGTTCCTGAAGTCTTTTTTAAACAACTGTTTCATTCATTAAGTTACATTGGTAGATCAGATGTTTATTTTTAAAATATATTTAACTTAAAATAATTGCTTTTTTTTGTTTTTAATAAAAGTTGGTATACAAAGTGTTATAGCATTTTATAATGTTTGTGTTAATCTCCAAAAGCCTTGGTTTTTACTCAACGAAATTCTATGTAGCACGTTCCAGAACCAAGTCAGTTGATGATATGTTTTTTAAGTTTGATAAACATTCATTTCAAGGTATGTCATTTAAACGAATACTACACAAATGTTGTATTTTAAATGTTTGTAATAGTTTTAAGAAAGTATTTTTATATATCATATGATGTGGTAATAAGTGTTATTTATTATGTGTTAATATGTGTTATATAAAGTTATATGGATTTATATTTTGTAAATGTTTATGTAGGTGCTTCTATTTGTATGTTGTTAGTAGTTAAAATATGTACAATAAACTCTGGATAATTGTAAACTAATTTTAAAATTCCAGTAGAGCTTATATTTATGAATTATACTCCAAAAAACTCTAACATTCTCTAACAAGATAATTTCTTTGTCTCTTGGAGGTTTGAGTATTGAGAGTTTACTGTAATATGTTACCTTATTTGTAATTTTGTCAGTGTCTATGATTAAAAACGATTATTGGATAGTTTCATAACTGACTAAACATCATTCACTAAAAGTCAAGGATTCAGTTTTTAAATAAAAACTGAATCTTATTGTGATTATTTATTTTTAACCTTGCTTTTTTAAAAAAATTTGGTAATCTATACTTGCAACAAAAAATCTTGAAACTTTCACAAAAGAAATACAACCTCACGAAGTAAGTTTCTTATTTGTTATCTATTTAGTCACACTTTTGAGTTTTTAAATAAATAGTGGCCATTTTTGCTTTTTTTTAAAATATATTTATATCATATTTTTATATGTGAAACCATTTTTATACTTTTATCGACTTTTGTGATTACGATCAAGACTTTTATTTACATTAAGTTTCAAATTTTTGGCACAGACAACAGGATTAATAATTAATTTGCCTAACTCAGCAATAAAAACAGCTTAATTGAATGAATTTGTAAGAGATTTTTTTTATACAGAAAAGCTTCTATAAAAAATGTCAAACAGATAGAGCTAACATATTTGAAATAACTAGGTACCTTTAGCCCATTTTTTAAGTCCATTTTTGCTTTTTAAACGAATCTTAATTAGAGGGTTAAAATTTTACTATAGCCTACGTTTCTAAAAACACCTGAATAATTTTTACTGAACTTTAATGTTAAAGATACTTTTATTATGTAAAAAATAGCAAACAAGTATTTTATTTTTTTCAGAATTTTAAACAAGTAAATTATTTAATCAAAAGCAAAGAACTTTAAATCAAATAATTTTTTGCTGTTTACTAAAATTTGTTGAAGTATAGAGGCTGAATTAAGAACAAGTTTAAAAATAGTTGGGTGTGGAACAAGTTTAGAAATAGTCGGGTGTGGAACAAGTTTAGTGTGACTTGTATTGTACGAGTCTTGACAGCTAGTTATTAATGATAATTAAAAAACAAGTCAATTTTATAATATACTATAACTCTATACTATAATGAAAATATTTATAAAGTCTTTAAAAATATAAATATAAAGTCTATATAAAGTATATAAAGTATATAAAAAAATATAAAAGTCTATAAAAATATAAAGTCTATAAAAACAAAATATAAAAGACATAACCAAATCAATACATCAGTTTTATAAAAAAAAACTCTTGTAATTAGCAAGTTTTTTTCATTAAGTCTCATGCCAAACCTTCATTTGAATTACTGACATAATTAGTGATATAACAGAATAAAAATATTTTAAATGTTTAAATACAAATTTAATTTGTAATTTTATAAAACTGAGGCGTTGAGATCCTTTAGCCTATTTTAATGGTTTTTAAAAAAAATAACTTCTTTATTTATCACAAACTTAGGCCATTCGAACAACAAAGCAAGCACAAATTTTGTGTAAATACTTAACGTGACAACTTGGTATTTACTCCATCAAACAGTCAATTACAGCTCAATTACAGCCCTGTTTACAGACACATTTTTTGCATTTTTTAAAGTTAAATTATGTTAATTAAATCAACTACATTAACAATTTTTGTTAACTGCATTTTGTTTAGATAAAAATACATTTTTTTTTAATAGTAAGAAAAAGGTTACACAATAATATTAGTTTTTTACTATAATAATACACAACACATTGTTAAAGTAACCTTTATTTCATTTTAAACTGTTTATCTAACTTAAAATTATAGTGAATAAATGTTAAGTATTCTATATTATCCAATTTTAGCAGATGTTGATGAATACAGAAAAGATTACTTTTGCAAATCTTGCAACCTATGCTTTCTTATCTAAGCTTTCAAACCACATAATAATGCTATATCTTAACTATAACCGAACCTACACCTTACAATTCTATTTTCAAAGATTCATTTTTCTAGTTGATTTTAAAAATTAATTTATAATTGTAGTTCAATAAGGTTCAGTGTCAAAATACCTGGTGAGATATTTCTATGCACATATAAGTTTGGACTTTATTCAAACTAAAACTTCTGCTTAAGCTAAAAAATATTATTATGATAAAAGTATGAACTTTACCAGGCCCATCACGTGCAGGACTTGAAATTCTAGGAGACATTGGAACAAATCCGTTTCCAATTCCAGGTAACATGCTTGAAATCGCCTGAAAAAAGTAATCTATCATTAAAAATTTAAAACCATAATAAAGAGTGTAATCTATTTAAAAACTTATGAGTTCAGTAAAACTTTTAAAAGTAAACATTTATAAATACTGAATACAAAAGCACAAACATGACAAAAAAAAAAGAAGCCGTATACAGCTAAAGTATTTTTTTTTCCCCAGAAAATTTAAATTAATATTAAAATAAGAAACTTGAAAAAAAAAAAAGCACAGATGAAAACATTTACTAAAATAATTATGACATGTATACAATTGTAAAGTACAAATAAAAAAATACTTTAAAAATTTTATTTCTAATAAAATACTTTATCACAACTTAACAAAATCTTTAATTATTGTTAAACAGTAAACTAAACTAAGAGTTTCCAATAGTAAGCTGTAGCAACAGATATGCTTAAAAGTAACAACATAAGGTCTACTAATAAGTTTGCAAAGAATGCTTAAAAAGATTGAGCTAGAACAAGTTTTTCAGGATGGATATGTATGGATGGATGTACCAGGACAGATATATGTGGATGGATGGATTAGGATGGATATGTATGTATGGATGTACCAGAACAGATATATGAGGATGGATGGATTAGGATGGATATGTATGGATGGACGTACCAGGACAGATATATAAGTGGATGGATGGATTAGGATAGATATATGTGGATGGATGTACCAGAACAGATATATGTGGATGGATGGATTAGGATGGATATATGTGAATGGATGTACCAGAACAGATATATGTGGATGGATGGATTAGGATGGATATATGTGGATGGATGTACCAGAACAGATATATGTGGATGGATGGATTAGGATGGATATATGTGGATGGATGTACCAGAACAGATATATGTGGATGGATGTACCAAGACAGATATACGTGGATGGATCGATTAGGATGGATATGTATGGATGGATGTACCAGGACAGATATATGTGGATGGATATATGTGGATAAATGTATCAGGGTCGGTATGTATATATATTTACTATTAAAATATGTATACTCTTTTTCACTTTTTACTATATTTATATATTGTTCATTAAATAAAAAGTAATTCATTTTGTTTTTCTACATCAATAAAAAATATTTCAATTTTTTACCTTTCCAGCACCAGCTAGTACAAGTGACTTGCTTCGAACAACAAAAATTCCACCATTTTCAAGAACCATTTTTGATTGAACAAATGCGTTACCACGATACAAGTGCTTTATTTCTCCTTGTAAACCCTGAGTATAAAAAAGGTATAATCCTAAAAGGACACAAAGTAACCTGAGTACAAACTATATAACTAAATCAACAACAACAAAAAATTAAAAAAAAAAAAAAAAAAAAATGTTAACAGTTTAGTACTTTTTCTAAAGATATTTTTAGTAGGAGGGTTAACACTAAGCCATGTTGAAATTTTAATACTTTACATATAATCTAAAAAATTTTACTAGCTGTATGCGATAAAAACATTAGAACCAAAAATTTGAACCCCTAAAATTTAAGTTCAAAAATTTCAAGACCTATTTACAATTATTATAATAAAGAATAATTTTAATATTTATTATTAATAATAAAATATAAAATAATTTTAATATTTTAATAAAGAAAAACTTCTATAAGATTATATAAGAAATATCTTATATAAGAAAGGTATATTTGTAACTATAAAAAAATCTTAAATGGTGTTGCATGGCAAAAAAAAATAATAATAAAAATCCAAGAGCAGTTAGTGCTTTTGGTGTGCATTCTTAAATCAGTTCTCCCAAATAATTCAAATTCTCACTAATAATTAGAGTCAAATTCTCCCTAATAATTAGAGTCTAGTTCACTAGTACTAAGAACCAAGTTCTCTTTATAATTTAAATCATGACAACAATATCAAATACATAAAAAAAATTTTATCATCATTTACCAAACTGCTTCAATCTTTTACTTTTATTTTCCAAAAAATATTCAACCTAAAGATTCATACAAAATTCAACAGACCTACTAGCGAATTTTACAAAAGACATGATTCTACTGTACTTGTGAAATTAGTTTATATTTAACTGTTTTATCTTTGGGTATTAGAATAAGTAATGAATGACAAGTGATTATAGCATGTTTCATCACTCACACTATTATCCAAATTAAAAAAGTTTCTCTATTAAAAGACCTACCAAAACACAACTCTGCATGACTTGTTAATCAGCAAAGCTGCACCTGTTTGCTGTTGCTGTTCTTTCATATTCACAAATTTTAAATTTATCAAATTTTCCCCTTCAAACATTAATGCTTTGAAATTTTCCCCAGTTTTCATAATTTCCTGACTTTTTTCCTGACTTACATTACTTGCATCTTTTTATGTTTTTTTTGTCAACAGTTTCCTTGCTCTTTAGCTCTCTTTACTTTTTTGAAACTTATAACTTAAAAAAATTCATAACCTAAATAATGGATGCTTGCAGTCTTGTTGAAGACAAATTTGTTTAAAGAATTTATTAATTAAAGAGTGAATGCCTCCAGGCCTATTATAAACAAACTTGTTTAAAAAATTCATAATTTAAATCAATTTAAAAAAAAAAACTCTAATCTGGTTTTATAAATGCTCAATTCTACTCTTTTATGTCTACTTTTTCTTAAAAATATTGGTAAATTTGGTTATATGCTGTTGCTATTTAGTAAACTTTAAAATATGTTACTTTATATGGATTTATGTTAATAAATATAAATACGTATTAATTATTAATTATTAATATAACAATAATAAACTCTTTCTGTTAAGCCAAAAAGTAATAGAACAATCTACAAACAATCTACTGTGTACTTACTGTGTACTATGTGTACTGTGTTCTGCACAATTAGTACAGTGAGTATTCTATATATTTAGTACAGTATATATTTCTTGAGTGACAATGATAGTTCAAAACAACAAAATTAAAAAAAATCCTTGTTGATACATATCAATACATTTTTAACATTTAAAAAGTATTTTGAATAATGCTTTGACATGTATATTGCTATTGATTTACAAAGATAGATCTGTATATCAAAGATATACTGCTCTAGGTTGCACTACTAGGCTAACAAAGATATACTGCTCTGGTAGACTCAGGTTGCACTGCTAGACTAACAAAGATAGATCTGTATATCTTGATATATTTAGTAACACACCTGCTATTTTTTAGAGGTTTTTAGTTAAAGTTATTTTTACTTTTTTTAGCTTTTTTTTGCTGTATCAAAAGAGAAAAAAATTTTATTTTTTGATAAAACAAAGAATAGTTCATTGATGCAACAGATAAAAAAATTATTGGATTTGATAAATAAATAAATTTAAAAAAATCAAAATAAATAAAGAAAAATAAATAAGAAAAATAAGAAAAATAAATTAAGATGAAAAATGCTCTTGTCCTATTTGCTGACTAGAGCAGGATACAAAAAAATAACTGTCAAAAACCTTCTGATAAAAACTGCTGTCCAAAACCTCCTGCTAAATACAACTGTCAAAAACCTCCAATGACTTGATCACTTTGAAAAATGCAAACTTTGTTGACATATTGTTTCTTGTGCGCTAAAACCTCATCTACTGCTTATTTTAATTAGTTAATGTATTTCATTTATATATATTTTCATTTTATAATATATTTCAATATATTTAGTTTAACTTAATGTTTTGTACTCTTATAATAATGTGTATAAATAAAAAAAATTGTTGTTGTTGTTTCAATTTTGGATTTTAGTAGTAAACATTGTTTACTACTGACTTAGACTTCATTGTTTACAAAAGTAAAACAAAACAAAAAACACTTTTTTTGGTTTAACATTTGTAAACCCTGTTTAGCATTTGTAAACGCTGTTTAACATTTGTAAACGCTTGTTTACAAAAGTAAAACAAAACAAAAAACACTTTTTTTTGGTTTAACATTTGTAAACGCTGTTTACCATTCAAACAAATGAACTTGTATATTTTAATTTACTTCAATATTTATATTTTACTTATAGAACTTTATAGTTTTATTTATGTTAATAATTATAATTCAAAATATATTTTTTTTTTTGAAAAACAACATTTTACCTCAAATTTACCTTCAATAACTTTTACAATGTCTTTCACTTGAATTTGGTTCTAATTATAAAAAATAAACTTTGATAATATAATTTATAAAAATAATTTTTTTTTCAAAAATAAAATATTCTTTTTAAAAATAAATATATTTTTTTTAGATACTTATAATGCAAATCAGCCCAGACAAAAAAAATGAGCTCAATAAATAGCTTGAATTCAGATAGGTTGTTTTAAAAAAAAAACACAAAAAAACAGAGACTGTGCTGTTCTACAATCTCAGTTTTTTAAAAAGCCTCTAATATCCCAGTTTTTTGAGATTAAATTCCCACTACTCTTAAACAGTTAAAACAAAATTCAAATTAAAATGAAATTAAAATTAAAATAAAAATGTTTAGATTTTAAATTATGCAAAAATAAGATGAAAATTTTCAAAAAGCAAAATAAAAATATAATTTAAAAATAAATAATAGTAAGAATATGTAATTATAACAATATAACATTTTTATAATATACTATAATACCTGTTCAGAATCTAGTGCAACAGAGTTATAGTCTCTTTTTTTTGTAACTGCTTGTGGTTTTAGTTGCACAACCTATTTTAAAAAATGAAAAAGTTAAAACTATAATCATAAAGATACAAGCCATTAAAAATAATAAGATAAACCATAACCATAAAGATATATGCCATACTAACATTAACAAATAGTAAGATAATATAATAAGATAGTAGGAAATCAGTGTAAAAAGGCTAATGCTAAGTTCCATTATTCCCAGTTTACCAAATTTAATATTTTATCTCAGAAGATAGGCTCTATAGATTTTTCAAAAATCTTAAACAGTGTCATTAATGTAGATAACTTCAACATTCCACTCTAATTCATGGAACTGATCTTATTACCTCTCCTACGGGTAAGGCAGAAATTTTTGTTTTAATTTGAATCTTACTCGTCTTGCCATTCTATTTAAACAGTTTAATCTATTGCTAAACATCCAAATCACTCTAGCTTCTGTTACTAAAGTCGTTTCTCAATTAAAATCTTCTACGCCAGGTGGTCCAGACAACATTTCTACCGCAGACTTACAAAATTGTTCTTAGATCTCTCTTTAATTCTCTCTAAACTATTTAATAAGTGCTTGATTAAATCTTATTTCCTTGCCTACTGGAAAATGACATCTATGGTTCCAATTTTTAAATCTATCAATTACACTCTGAGCCTCCGACTATTGTCCAATATGTCTTCTTTCTGTCTTTTTCTGTCTTCTTTTTTGAGCCCTCAATCAACAAATTTTTAACAACAGTTTTTTATCAAGATCGGTAGACAATCAATACCGTTTTCCATCAAGATCAGTCAGACAACAATAACAGTTTTTCAACAGTTTTTCAAAGGTTCTATCCTTGGTCCTGTTATGAAAAACATTACATTAATGTTTTTCCTGACAACCTAACATAAGGTGGCTCTATTTGCAACCTAACCTAAGGTGGCTCTAGTTGCTTACTAATCAACATTATACTCCTGTCTTGACAAAAAAAATCTTCTTTCTCTTTTTGCTTAGAAGAGGCAGATTATCTTTAATTTGATCTTACTTTTGTAAGATCAAATTAAAGATAAAAAAATACTAAATATATAAAAAATATTTTTTCATCCATTCTTTTTTTAAACATAATATCATCATCAGTTTTTTTTTTACTAATCAACTTTATACTCCTGGGGCTTTGGAATGGCTTTTAAATTTTAACTCCAACAAAACTCAATTATTCACTGCAAACAACTATAGCAAAACTGTCACCATTCTTATAATAATGAATGGCAATATTGTGTCCTCTTCTTTACATCTTCTTTGATTATTGTTCACAACTGACTTCTTCTAAAATTACTTCTCCTTATCAAATTTACCATTATCTTATTCCTGATTTAATTTTTACCTCTACAAATCTCTTATTCATCCCTCTATAGAATACTGTTGTCATATTTGGGCTGGTTTTTTTAATGACGCTGTTTCTCTTTTAGACAAATTCTAAAAACACATTTTAAATGTAGTTGGATCTGCTTTATCTGTAAAGTTTGAACCTCTTTCCCATTGTTGTAAAGTTGCATTTCTTTCTCTTTTCTATAAATACTACATAAGATATTAATATAGTTTTATATCTTTTTCATATTAACATAAGATTTTGATTCTCTTTTGGAGAATCTTTAATTATTTAAAAACTTATATAATATATAAATATCAAAAGGTCTGTTATTCCATCTCTCTTGTATGGTTTAGATTTTTTCATCTCATCTAAAGACAAAGCTGAATTGTTTGCTAAAAACTTCTCATCAGTATCATCTCTTGATTCCACTAATTGTGTACTAACTGATTTAGCAACAAATTTTAAAATTTTAAAAAATTTGTTATCTAAATCTATGTTAAAAAACAAATTTGAAGCAAATTCCTGCTTAGACTCTTCTACAGCCTGTGGTCCGGACAACTTATCTGCTATAGTGTTGCAAAAGTTTTTTCTGGTGCTTTTGTTTATACTTTCAAAACTATTTAAAAAGTGCTTATCAGAATCTTGTTTTCCAGCCTGCTGGAAAGCAGCATCTGTTGTTACCCTTATTTTCGAAAATTCTGGAGAGGTCTGACTTACAAAAATTACTGTCCAGTTAGTCACCTTACTATCATAAGGTTTTTGAGTCTTTAATTAACAAAGACTTAATCTCTGATCTTAAATCTAACAACTTACTTTCTGATCATTACATTTCTGATCATGCTTTTCTTGTTCTTCTACTGATTTGTTAATGGTATAATAAATAAAATTGGCACAATAAAACCGATAATGGCACAATAAAACCGATAGGTTTTATTGTGCATTAAATAGATGTCAAGAGGTTAAGCTTATCGCTTTCAGCATTTCTAAAGCTTTCGATAAAGTTTGGCGCGCTGGTCTTCTCCATAAGCTTTCTTCTTATGGTGTATCAGGTAACATCTTAAAGATTATTGAATCCTTTTCTAATCGTAGTATAAAAGTTGTCCTTGATGGACAGCACTCTTGGTCATATACTGTAACTTCAGAGGTTCCTCAATGCTTTATCCTTGGCCCTATATTTTTTTTATTTACATTAACAATACCCCAAAAATTTTCACATCTAAGGTGGCATTGTTTGCAGATATTTCCATTTATTCATGTCTTGATAAGAACCCAATACTCTCTGATTGCTTGGAGGGGGTTTAAGTTTAACTCAAAAAGAATCTTCTGCTACAGGATGGGATTCTTAGTGACTGGTTTAATTTTAACTCAGATAAAACTCAAGTTTTTTCAGCTAAATGTTATCGCAATAATCTAGATCTTCTTATACTTATAAACCACTGAAGTTACAGGATTATAAACGGTAGTGTACTTAATGAGTCATCTACCCTTGGTCTTCTAGGATTAACTCTTATTTCCAATCTTTCTTGGAAACTTTATAACTCCGGATTCTATTCTTTATCAATATAAATCTCAAATGCTTCCATTTATTAAATACTGTTGCCATATCTGGGGCGAATCTTCCAATGATGCCTTTTCTCTTTGCAAAAATGCATTGTAAACATAGTTACCAACCTCCAACTACTATCACATGGTCGTAATTTTGCTTCTCTTTCTCTTTTCTATAAATACTAAAATGGGTACTGCTCTAAAGAGCTAGTATCTCTTTTGCCATCTACTAAAATTCATTCTGGTGTTACTCATAATTCCATTAAGTCTTATCCTTTTAATGTAACTGTTCTTAAGTGCTCCAAAAATTCTTATTCGTCTAGTTTTTTTACTCAAACCTCAGTTCTTCAGAATTCATTTCCTTCATCTTGTTTTCTTGATTCACATAATTTGCAATCTTTCAAGTCATCTTTTAATCATTATCTTGCTCTATAAATTTCAACTTTTCTCTTGCAGTAATTTCCAACTCTAATAGTAGTTGCTTGCAGCCTTATTGTGAGTGAGATGTTGAAAAATTATACATATTAAAACTATAGATAATTTTAATATGAAAGTTAACTTTACTATATTATTAGGGCTACAAACTAAACTATATATTAGGGCTGCAATCAAGTTTCTGGTTTTTTTTTTATTGAAAATATGGCTTTTTACAAAATAATGTATTAATTACAAAATGAATTGGTTCATTATATAAAAGCATTGCATGTGTGACAGGGTTCCTACTATTAAAACTGAGGCTTTAAGTAAAGATTTTAAGGAGATTTAAGGAGATATTTTCCTTATATTTAAGGATATTTGGTCGCGAATGACAATTTTTTGAAAGAAAAAGTAAGGAGAATTAAGGAGAAAACAATTACATTAAAAATAGAACAGAATATATATATAATATATATTAAATATAAGTAGAACAATTATTATAAATTAATAAACTACTTGATGTATATATAAATATAAATATAAATATAAATATATATATATATATATATATATATATATATATATATATATATATATATATATATATATATATATATATATATATATATATAATAGAAGTATAGGTTTGCAAACTATTGAAGAATTATATATTTGCTTCTTTATTAAAAAGTATAATTTTCTAGATGATTAAAAAACGAAAAATTAGGAAGAAAAGTCAAAATACAACTTTTTTTAAGGTTATTTAAGGACTTATAAGGAGGTTTTTTTTTTTTTTTTTAATGAGGATATTTAAGGTTTTTAAGGAGGAGTAGAAACCCTGAGAAAAGCTATACTATTTCCTTATCCTTCTGGTAATTTATGGATTCCCTGCAAAAAGAACTGCTTATCTTTTGAGGCAAAAAAAGAGTCAAGCAAATATCCTTTTTCTAAAGTTCAGCCTATTCCAGTGAGTGTATTCTGCATCGATAAAATGGCAGTCAAACAGGCAAGGTCTTGCTAGCCTTTTTGTTTTGAAAACAGTAGATTGGAAATAATGCAAGTGACTTTCTATCCACTTATTTTCAAATAGTTTTTACTGGTTATGAAACATGTGGCCAAGAATAATCATCGCGGAAAATTATGGTCTTGAATCTTGTAGCATATTCTAGTTGTCTTTTGCTAATTGTTTTCTTTAAACAGATTAATTTTGTTCAGTAGACATTCTCTATAATTTCAACAACTCATTATAGAATATACCCATCTGATCCCAGCAAGTACAAAGAATTATCTTGATGCCATGAGCATCAAGATAATTCTTGATGCTCATGGCATCATGATAATTTATGATTGAATTATTCATGAAAAGCTTTTTTTTGTTGTTTTGAATTACCATTGAATTTTTATCTCCTGAGGTAAAAACAACCAAACAACAACATTTCATATACCAAATTTTGTAGATCTTTGGATTTTTCATGAAAATGATTACACAGACTGAATATTTAAAAACATAATATTTATAGGAAGAAAAAAAGTAATGATTATTTTTTGATTTATAATAATCATTCTAAAAAATCGGTGCAAAAAGATATTGTTTAACGCTTAGACATTGTTCTCAGATTGATAAATACCATATTCTGTCTCAAATTAGTTTCTAAAGACTTATGAATAACAGTAAAAATGTCATTAATAAAAATGTTAATAATGTAAAAGACGTCTGTTTTTAAGAGAATTGTTCTAGTAAAAAAAGAAAAATTTCATATTTCAACCAAGCAGCATTTTCTAATATAAAAATTTATCTGTCTCTGCGTTTCAATTCATATAGCACTCGATTTCGTCGCTTTTCAATAAATCTTGCTGTTTTTAAACGCACGAAAATGGTAAACACACACAAAAAAAAACCCACACACAGATTTAAAACCTATAAGTATTTAAAATTTTGATAATATATATATATATATATATATATATATATATATATATATATATATATATATATATATATATATATATATATATATATATATATATATATATATATATATATATATATATATAAATATAATATATATAAATATAATATATATAAATATAATATATATATAATATATATATATAAATAATACATATTTTTTTTTTTTTTTTTAAATTGAGTTTTATCTGAATTAAAATTCACCAGCCACTGCGAGCCCCATGCTGTAGCAGAAGTGAGATCCTTTTCAAGCTCAGATGCCCCCTGCAAGCAGTCAGAGGGAGTTGGCTTATTATAGTGACAAGAATAAATGGTAGTATCATCAGAAAACAATGCCACCTTAGATGTGAGAATATCTGGAAGATCGTTAATGTAAATTAAAAAGAGTATAGGGCCAAGGATTGAACCTTAGGGAACCCCTGAGGTTACAGAATAAGAAGAGTGCTGTCCATCAAGGACAACTTTTATACTACGATTGGAAAAGGATTCAATAATCTTAAAGATGTTTCCAGATACACCATAAGAAGAAAGCTTATGGAGAAGACCAGCATGCAAAACTTTATCAAACGCTTTAGAAATGTCAAGAGCAATGGTCTTAACCTCTCCACCTTTATCTAATGCGCAATAAAACCTATCGGTTATTACTGATAGCAAATCAGCCGTAGAACGAGAAGATCGAAATCCATATGATGATCAGAAAGTAGGTTATGAGATTCGAGATGAGAGATTAAGTGTTTGTTAATTAAAGATTCAAAAACCTTGCTTATGATAGGAAGAAGACTAATGGGACAGTAGTTAGACAGATCGAATCGCTCTCCAGAATTTTTAAAAATAGGGATAACAGATGCTGCTTTCCAGCAGGCTGGAAAACAAGACTCTGATAAGCACTTGTTAAATAGTTTTGAAAGGATAGAGGACATCTCCAGAGAACACTTCTGCAAGACTCTAACAGGTATGTTGTCCGGGCCTCAAGCTGTAGAAGAGTCTAAGCGGGAAATCACTTTAGATACAGAAGCTGGAGTTATATGGATGTCGAGCAATGGATCAACCTGTTTGACGGCTATATCAGGCAGAGCGCAACTAGTGGAGTCAAGAGATGATATTGATGAAAAGTTCTTAGCAAATAATTCAGCTTTGTCTTTTGGTGAGGTGACAAAGTCTGAACCATACAAAAGAGGTGGAATTACAGACTTGCCCTTATTATTGATACTATTAAAGATTCTCCAGAAGTCACGATTTTACCCAGGGGCCATCACGAAGAAAGTCACGAAAAGAGTCCCAGCTTTAAGGTAGTTGTAAGATGTACGATGATAGGGGGATTCTACTGGTAAAGAAGAATGAGATAATAGTTTTAGAGAGACCAAACCATAATCAGACGCACCTAAGGGTGAGTGTGAAGAAACTAAACACTGACTAGGATCAGAAACAAGACATAAATCGAGTAGATAAGGTAAATGATTTGGGTTGTCTGGAAAGCGAGTTGGAAAGTTGACTATTTGAGTTAGGGATTGAGAAAGACAAAAGTTGTGGGCCTTAATGCCTGCAGAGTCACTGACACTAGAGCCAAGCCATTCAGTGTGATGAACATTAAAGTCACCGACAACAACAATATTGGCTGATGGATAAAGAATGAGGGCTTGGTCAATATAATCAGAAATAACATCAAGAAAAGTGCAGTCTTGGGATGAGGGAGAGCGATATAGAACAAAGAGAAAGGTGATAGAGTGAAGTGGTGCTAAACGAAAGCACATAAAAGAGTAGTCTGTGGATTCGAACCTAGTTTCCTGACAAATGGGTGAATTCTTACGAATGTAAATGCCCAGGCCAAGCATGTGACTATTGGAGTCTTTACGAATTAAAGGAAGATAACCATCAACACTAAGATCACAAGATGAGACAGCTGAACTCAAATTCATCTCACAAAGAGCAAGCAGGTCTGGTGAAGAGATAAGACTCAACAGAAGAAAAGTTACTTCGAAAACCACTAATATTGGTGAATGATAGGTTAAGCTTGGTGATGACTGTGGTTTTTTGTGTTTTATAGTTTTTGTTACTTTATTCATTTTTAAATTTGTTAAAGAACTTGACTCGAAACATAGATAGTACTCAGTACACTGTTCTATAGCTCAAGCAATTGCCTCATTTCCACTAATAAACCCTAAGCCGTAACAAAGGGCTCCAATGTGGCCTTGACAATGCACACCAAAAGGACAAACAGGGACACCATCCATGCGCAACATGGCACTGTTAGTACTCTGATATTTTTCAGCTGTTGATGGAATCAGCCTCTCTGAGAGCTACCACAGAGTTTGGGAAACCTGACTACCAGCCGGCCTAAGAACCATAAAACTGAGTTTTAGAGCTGTACCCTCATTTGGAGATAATAAAATGAGTTGCCTAGTCATAAAAACAGAGACACAAGCAAAACCCATGAATCGAGTCAAGAAGATCCAGCGTTCAACATCCTAAACTGGTAACAATGTATTAAAAACACATCTGCGCTAGCCTAATAGATGACGAAGGGGGGCGAGGCTGGTCAACAGATAGAATCTGTTTACCCCTTAAGTCTTTGCCTAGGAGGCCTTTTACAAGACAGCAGCCGGATGCATGTAACATCTGCCCAAAATGAGTAATTTTATCGAGACACTATCTCTAGCCTTTACTCAACTAAGAGCCCCAAGGCAGGGGGTGTTTTATGTCGGAGTTTGCATCTCCTAGCCTTTGCCTAAAAAGGCATATCCTACAAGGCAGCAGGACATGAAGCAGATTGTACTGGGTTACATGTTACCAGTAGCAGGATAAACCTGACCTGACCATGTATATATATATATATATATATATATATATATATATATATATATATATATATATATATATATATATATATATATATATAAACATATCCTATATACATATATAATCAAAATCATAATTTTTATATGTAGTAAACATACAAAAAAAACAACATACCTTTCCATGTTGGTTTAACACAGAAAAACTCTCACGTTCTAAACGTACTATAACACCTACAGTTTCTCGACTAAAAAAAAATTTTTAATAAAATTTTTTAAAAACTAAAACAATAATTAAAAAAAAAAATTGTTTATAGCATAAGCTAAAATAGTTAACTAAAAAAATGATTGCATCAAAAATCATACTCAATAGAAACCAATTCTCCCCAGCTATGCTGACCAAGCGAATCCACCCCAGTACTCATATCACTGCACAGTTGTAAATCATTTGGTTTCACTTTCAGCTAAATGTGTAGAAAATCACTCAAATTTTAATTAAAAATACTTCACAATAAAAAAGTAGCAAAGAATTACCTCATGAAATGTAAGATCAGAAAAAAGAATAGCAACATTGTCTTCCACTCGAACAATTATGCCAGTATCTCCTTCAAATGAACCTTTTAAAACTTTTACGTGATCGCCAACTTTAAAATATTTTTCTAACTCATGAGCAGGAAATTCTAATGGTTCCTATTTAAAAAAATTAATGTTACAATTTAAAATGTTAAATATGCTAAGATACCTAAATACAACATTTTCTAAATTCCTTGTTTATTACAAGTAATACATTACAGATAAAATTGAAAAAAAGCATTATTAGTATTTTCTTTCTAAAGAGATCATACAAATATTTTTTTATTTTTTGCTGGGTAACCATAGCAACCTTTACACCATAAAAATATAAATAAAAATTTTTTACCAAGAAATAAACTATTTTTAATACAGAAACATAACACTTTTAAAAAAAACAAGTTTTAACTCTTAAAATGAACACAACTAAAAAATAACTAAAATTTTAAATACTTTTAGGTCTTCATGCTGGGGCATAATGGTAATAGTATTTCCATCAACTGTCAAAACTTTTCCTGTTAAATGAACAAGCTCGCCCTCAGCAACACGAATCACGTCTCCAGGAGCAAATGAGTGAGCAATTTCTTCTTTCGCTTTACTATTTCCCACTGAAAAATGATCAAAGAAAATAGGATTTATAATAATTACTATAAGAAAAATTATGAAACTATGAATTGAAAAAGTTTAATAAAATACCAAAATTATTCAAGATATACTGGTTTTGTTTTTATTCTTATTATTTGCAGACTAAAGACATTTTAAGAAATAAAACTAAAGTAATATTAAATATATTTATGGAAAGTAATAGAAAGTTTAAAAACAATAAAACATAAAAGAATACACTCTAAATCTGCATCATCAACTGATTCTTCAAATTTTTCTAATTCAGATAGGGTTGGCTTTACACCATCAGTAATAAGGGCAGAGATTGCCATTGTTTTGTATAGAAAACCTCCGCGATATCTGTTATTTTTATATATACTAAAGTCGCCATCAGTTGTGACTAACCCTCCATTTTTACTAAAAAAGAATATAATATATAACACAATATTTAAATGAACAAACACCAACTATAACAACAAAAATAATAAAAAAATACCGTACAAAAGAGTGTCCTTATCAAACATCTTCTGAGGTGGACGAGGTCTTCGCTTTCTCTTTAAATCCTGTAAAAAAAAATTATTTATAAATGATAATTTATTGCGTTCATTTCTAGTTTTAAGAGGCAGTTTAACCTTCACTTTTATCTTTAAATATTTTATCACAATTTATCACACAGTTTAATCTTGTTTTTTATTCTTGTTTAAAAAACAAGAATAAACTGTGATAAAATATTTAAAGATAAAAGTGAAACTCATTAAATAAAAAAGTTTATAATAGCAAAGAAATTATTAAAAAAGTTTATAATAGTAAAGAAAAATTAGAATTCATTGAACTCAAAACAAAAGATTTTGGGCTTCATATCCTTTTTTGGTTAAAAAAATATATTTTTAATTCAACAAAGTTATGTTATGCATTATTATTTAATTATGCATCAATAATTATGTAAGCATCAATAATTATGTAAGCATCAATAATTATGTAAGCATCAATAATTAATTAATGTAAAAGCAATGTTAAACATCAAAAATAAAAGTTTGAAATGCAATATAGACAAATATAATAATATTTGAATGTTTGATATGACATTCAGTATGAATATAATTATTTATTTCAATAACTTTATTTCTTTTAAAATATTTTATTTTGATATGTTTTTCATAGCTATTTGAAATTAGTTTAAAAAATGACATTATGTAAAAAGATATGCATATCACGAGTAGATGTTTATAATTATATGTGTAAAATATATAAAAAATATATGTAAGAAAAATTTTTTAATGTTTCTCTGTGCAGCAACCTTGTCAGTTAAGTTTCTTGTTAGAAATAAATGATTGTTCAGTTGCAAGTAAGGTACAGTAACTGGGGTTGGTTCTAACACCGGTCCACCAACCTGTAATGTAAAGCTGGTGAGAGCTTTAGTATGACAAAAAGTGTAAGATTGAAGATTAAGTCAATTTGAGTTTTATACAAAGAAAAAGTAGAGAGACTTCTGAAATTCTAGTTTAATAAGGCTAAACAAGCTACTTACAAGAAATTCACTGGAAAGGTGACAGTTCTAAGATTATTGGAAATAATGACTGTTGAAGGGTGTCTGCCAAATGGATTTCCCTAATTTTTGTCTAATTTTTCTGTTGTCAGTTGCATATCATAAACGTAATATAAAATAAAATTTTTTATCATGTATATGATTTACAACTGACATAAGTTATGGATTACCACGGATAAGCATTTAATTGAAAGTTCACGCATTCTTCCTAACCAATGTCACAAGACTTGCCCAGAGGAGTTTAAACCATAGATCCTTTGTTTCAGAGGCAAGTACACTACCACTGTGCCACAGCTGCTTCAGGACCATCAGGTGTTGGAATTTATTAGCAGAAAAATGAATAACAAGATTATTTTTAGTCAAGATATTGCAAGTGAATGAGAGAATGGTATTAAGATTCTAAGGACAGTGCCTCATATAGTTTCAGTACATGCACCTCAAAAAGATGAGACAAGAGAAGAAAAGGAAAATTTTTACATTGTTCTTGTTAACATCTTTAAAAATATTGAAAATGAGATGATTATTGTATGTGGAGAAATGCTAGTGCAGCCACAGATGATTTTGATAGAGTACGTGAATAAACAAGAAACAGTAATGGTGTTGGTGAAAGCTGTATTAAAGGGTTAGATGGCAAAATGCTTATAAATAAAGTTGAGATAAAAACAAGTTTGAAGACTGGTTTTGAAAGTAATTAAGAGTTATTAATAAAAATAAAGAAGATTTATCTGCAGTGAATAAGATTTGTGGACCAGCAGTGCTGAAGACCTGTAGAAAAGGAAACCTAGCTATACAGCAGAGTTCAAGCAAGGCCACTGGTCTTTCTGATATATTGGCTAAGATATTGAAGATGTCAGGCTATGTGGGTGTTTGTCAGGTATTAGATATTTACAATGTTAATGGTTGGTAACAGTTATCATGCATACAACAATCAGAACAGCAATTAAAACAAATAACAGCAATCAAAACAAATAACAGTGATAGCTTTAAAGTAAAGTTTGGTGTGCATTAGGGTTCTTTTTATTGTTTCAGAATTTCTCTCTAAAAAGTTGTTGATTTACAATTGAAGTTATTCTATGCAGATGATACGTGCTTGATTGCAGATAAAAGAAGAATTAATATAAGATATTGGAAAGATGGATTAGAAGCACAAGAGCTTAGAACAAAAATGCAAAGTATATGCATTTTAAAGTTAAGAAATACAAAAAAGTAAACACTTGAAAGTGATTATGAAGTGTGTAAGAAAGAAGTTCAAATAAAGAAAATGCACTTTTGGTGAATACAGAGAAGTCAAGTAAGCAATAAATAGTTGTAAATATATATAAAGTGTGTTGGTAAGTTGGTGAGGGAGATAGAGGGAGATTTTATAAAACAACTTGAATTAAACTTACTGAATTTACTCTTTCCTCACTTTGCTCTTTGACTAATTCCATGTCTATTCTTGGGATAAGTTTTAAACTGACCTAAAACACATTATTTTTAAATAGAATGAAGTTTATAATAACTGCAATAACATAAAATAAATAAAAATATTAAAAATCAAAACTTACTTGATTTCTAGCAGTATTGACATAGTCCACCTTATTTAAGAAAATTTTAAAAAATTGAATTAAAAATAACGCATTTTGCATTTTAAACATAACAATTTAATGTGAATAATAAAATTTTGTTATGAAACAGCATTTCAAAATTTTTATGCATTATTAAAAATTTAAAACATTTTTTTAACTGTAAAACATTTTTTTAACTGTTTAAATTATATAACAATTTATAAAGTAACACAGTCTACTTTGTGTAATACAGATATACCATTTTAGAAATATAAAACATAAAAAATAACTAGAAATCAGATGAAAATTAGACAAATTTGGGCAATACCTGGGCAATATCATCTTTGTAAAGCCCTCTTCTTATCCTGACC